GTGACTGTATTAATCCATTCACTGAGTAATAAGTTGATGGATTAGTGGTGATCATGGGCCTAGTTTGGGGGGTTTTAAAAGGAGAATGCATGAGGAGCTCTCTGCCTGTTCCACCATCTTCTTCCATGTGCAATTCCTGTGTTACTACCAAGGAGGACCCTCAGATGTGTTCCCTGGACTTTGGACTTCCCAGCCTCCAAACCGGTAAGCAATAAATTTTGTTTTCTTATAAATTACCCAGTTCCAGATATTTTGTTATAAGCAACAGAAATGGACTAATACAGATACGTACAACTACTATAAGACCATTATTTATCTTATCTCTCAGGATACATACATTTGGTTATAATATTTTTTTTAAAAATTGAACTCCTAATAGAAAAACAAATCTCATCAGAAGAAGAGTTACACAGAGTTAGCCATTTCTTAAACAGATGCTAACTTATGTTCCCTACCATAATATTTGATAACAACTGCCAGCATTTATTTAGCAGATATCAAGAACTCTGCTAAGGATATGCAAAGATGACTAAAAGTGTATGTAAGCTCACAGTCTAGGGATTACTGGAAGGAAAAAGTGATGGGTCATGAGAAGAAGGGAGATGAGTCAATACAAACAAAAAACTGGGATTTCACTGTAGGAAAAAGAGAAAAGAGGATTAATGCTTTTGAAAGACAAAAGTAGATTTCTATATGAAGCTGAGAGTCATTCAATCTTGTCAGATTCCGAAGGCATCTCCAGATCAAGCTTTCCAAGGTAAGCCATGGCAATGATAATGGGACAGCTAAAAATAAGCCATAATTACAGCAAAGAAAACAACAGCCAGAATAAACCTGCCCATTGTCATTATTGAAGTTGTGGAATTACTTTTTTCAATTACTCTTGTCTTCAAAGGCTTCCTGATCCGATCATCTGTGGTGAGGATAGCTTTACGAGCCCCATCCCACTTTCCGGGGCCCTGCAAACGATACTGGATTGGAGTACAGGGTCCCAACAATAAATGTAATGCCAACTTGGGGTCAGTGAATGCGACAGACAGCAGATTGGGCCTGACCCCCAGCAAATCAGCAATCTCTTCCATGGTATCTATATAGTCTCCCTGAATGGTATGGCGTTGGCTGTCCACGTACCTGAAGTAGAAAAGACAGAAGTCATGGCCTCTCAACAATTTAATCAGTCAATCAGTCAATCAATGCTTTCTGAGTGTCTGCTATTGGCTCAATATTGAGCTAGGTGCTATGGAAAACAGAGAAGAAAGATAAGACATTTGTCACTGTCCTTAAGGACCTTATAATCTACTAGGGGAGTTAAGACAGATGTACATGAAGTAGGGAGAATATAAGACTTTTGGTAAATCATGTGGTTTTAGACTGCTAAGTAGAAATATAGAGAGGGGATAGTTAAAAGAAAGCCATAATAGTGAGGTCCTTGAAGGATGTGGAAGATATAGATAATATGAAAGCAAAGAGAAAAGCGTAAGTCAGGTGAATAGTAGAGTGAAAGAATAAAGCAGAGAGCAGGGCATGGAATATGAGCATGGACGTATGTGGAAATTACCCACAGAAGAGGAGGCATGTTGTGGGAAACTGGATATAGAGAGGCAAATAGAGCAGATCCAGATACAAAGGACTCTAATGTTATGAGAAAGGGAGAACCCCCCAAAAATTCTCAAGTAATTTTCAATTATTTTATGAGGGCAGTGGTGGTGGGGTCTACAGAGCAGGACTTCCCAAGGCCAATGTTAAATTGGAATCCTGAAAGGACACAGGAGTATGACATGCCAAAAGGGAGAACCCCCCAAAAATTCTCAAGTAATTTTCAATTATTTTATGAGGGCAGTGGTGGTGGGGTCTACAGAGAAGGACTTCCCAAGGCCAATGTTAAATTGGAATCCTGAAAGGACACAGGAGTATGACATGCCACAAGAGGAAATGGCCCTTCAAATGGGGCTGGATGGAATGATTATACCAAGTGCAGATTTGAAGAGCTAAAAGGATTTTTTAGAAAACATGTTAACAATGATGTCCGTGGGATTTGGAGAGCTAATGGGCAACTTTCACTTTTTACTTTCTATAATGAAAATAAAAGAAAGAACAGTAGGATGGAAAGGAAGTAAAAGAAAAGCTAAGTCAAGCTAATTGAGATTGAGAAATCCAAAAACAAGGACAGGAAAAAACGACAGAAAATAAATTTGAGGTAGAACTGTTGAGATGGAGTTCCAGAGGATCCAGTAGATAGTCAAGTAGGAATTTACTGAAATGGGATTAGAGTTTAGAAGAGAAGATAAGACGGGAAAGAATTTGAGAGCTTGCTCTTATGAACATTATGTTGGCTCAAGGGTTGGTAAGTGTGCATTTATTTATCATGAGCTATAGTATTCATGGAACCTTCACTAAGAGGTTTGCTAGTCCCTGCCTTGTCTTGTAGGATTATTATGAGGATTAAGTAAACTCAGGCATATAAAGTAGTCAATATTTATACACAGTCAGCCCTCAATAAAGATTAAATTATATCCTTGGGGACTGCTCAAAGTTAGAAGATGGTCAGACAAAAATAAGTCAAAGGAAAGAGAGGAGGAAAATTGAAATAAGATAGTTTAGTGCCAGAAAAGAAAGGAAAGAAAGCACTCTTCCAAGAAGGAAGAGATGTTTAAAAGTGCCACATGGTGCCAGTCCTCGGAGCCCACCAGGGACCAGAGGCGTGGAGAAGGGGAACAGATACACCCCACAACCAAGCACACCACCAGCACCAAGGAGCATGCCAAAAACATCACCTCCATGTGGGTGGCCCACCACAGCCACCACAATAACCATGGCTGCCGTGAAAGCAGCTAGACGCCACAACCACCACACAGATGGTCCGCCAGCCACTGGAGTGCCATTGACACAAGGAGAGTCACCAGCAGAGACAAAGAAAAGAAGAGGATGTCTCTCTCCACAAAGCCCATTTCAGAGTGACAGAAGAAGCGTCTGCTCTATGATAATATTGGGGGACTTGATCACACCTCTCAGCAATGGACAGATCATCTAGGCATCAATTAACTGAGTAACCATTATTCTTTCAGAAGGAGAGAAGAAATCTAGGGTAATTAGAGGGGGCAGGGGGGAAAGAATGGGGGAAGGGGAGAGATTGGACAAGGGGCATAAAGAATAATTATGATTTGTAACAATATATATGCTAGTAATATTGATTTGATCAACATATCTCAATGTTCAACCCCAAAAATATGTATAATCAATTTTGATTCAATAAATAAAATAAAATAAATTAAATTAAAAATAAAAATAAAAAATAAAAGTGCCAAACTCAGTAGTGAGAGGAAGGAAAAAGAAGTCATAAATAATCTTCAAGAGAGCAGTTTCAGGAGTAAGGATGGAAGTTACAATGCAGGGGGCTTTGGAGGGAGAAAAGGATGAGAATTTAGAGCATATAATGTAGAAAATTTACTGCAGAAGTTTGGCAGTGAAAGGAAGGAGGAAAATAGGAGATCACACGGGAAGGGTAGCAGGGTTAAATAAAAAGTTCTCCTCCCTGATAGGGGAGAGTTATGCTATTATAATCAGTTGAAGAAAACCACCTCTTTTAGGCCTGGAATGATTGTGCCTCTGGCTTTTTTTGCGAAAATTTAAGAACTTAGCATCGACTTCTACTTTGTCCAAATAAAAACCATCCAATGATTGAGGTCAAATTCTGAAATTCAGATTGCTAAATTATTGTGTTCACCAAAGCACCAAGCAGCTGGCTGATATTACCCCCTTCCCAAATCATGTGCACTGTTCACACCAGGAGCCACTGGGATCTGAGCGTGCTGTGACATGATGACAGCCAGCAAAGTGGCCACTGCAAATTTGTGATTCAACCATATCCACCTCTCATTAATTCGTTGTCACTCTTCCTTCTTCTGGCAGCTCTGCTAGCACTGCAAGTAATCCTCACAAAAATAGGACACCTGATTTTCTCCCCATATGCTTTTTCCTATTCTATATCTCTTTTAAGCCCTAAACATAGGTTTTCAAACACTTTTCTTGGGCTTTTCTCTCCTTTCCGATCCATAGTCAAACTACTGGTGCTATTTCTCCATTCTACTGTCCCAAACTACATTAAATTCCTTTTTCCTTCAAAATATAATCTAAATCCTTAAATTAACACCGGGATACTAATTATCCTGATTTGAGCATCACATATTGCACACAGGAATTGATATTCAATGTAGAACCCCACAGATATGTACAATCAGTTATGTTTCAATTAAAAAACACACAAGGAAGCTAAAGATAGTACCATATTACTCTTATTAAGAAATTAAGTAGAAAAAGGAACCATATACCTTCCTGAGGAATTTTTTACCTTTTTTCCATTTGCTCTTGAGCCTTAGTTATTTCTGCCATCATTTTACTTTTTGAGGGCAAAGTCTTTAGTCCTAAAGAGAAAAATTTAAATTTTAAATGTAAAATTACCTCAGTAGAAATAATAATCCCATTAACAATTACTATGCTATAGAGAATTCAAAGAAATACAGGATAGTTTTCTGTACTCAAGGATGTTACAATTCACTTGATCACCTTACTGTACCACCACCACAATATAATGACATTAACATCACAGCTTACTCCAGTTTACTTTGTCTTTGGAAGATATTTTTCCTACTCTGCCTTCTAACCAATACCTGCCTCCTCTCCTCTCTAACATACATAGTCTTTCAATTGGGAAGTATGTATGTATGTACATGAGAAAATGATAAATGGCTTAAAAGTATATGGAAAATGTGATACAAAGTAAAAGGGCAGGGGAGTGGGGGAAAACAGTGGCACTTGTACTCTTGATATCAAAGAGGTTTTATATCACAGAGAGAGAACGAAGTAAAATCACAATCTCAATCACATTTCAAGCCTCATTTTAAGTCTATGGAAGATAAGCTTCACCTTCTAAACTTTTTTATTTGGTAAGAGTGGGGAGTAAGGCTAAGGGTAACTCGTAACATACAATCTTGACAGATAAATTTAAGCACCAATGTACAAACAGTTCCAGTAGTAGGAGTTTAACACCTAAGACATGGCTAGATAAAGGTAGAATAGTATAAGTCAATATAAACAACTCTAAGCTTTAAGCAATTAGTTTTATGCCCAGATATCTAGGCACTATGCCATGTAGAAAATTTCAGCCACACTTCAAGGTGTTTCTCCACAAAATTCTCGAATACGGAAATTTGGAATGGGAATATATTTTACCTAATACAAGCCTTCTCTTTACAAATACTCTAATCAAGTGGTTCTCTCACTCCTCCTTAAACATCTCTAGTCATAGGGATCTGTTACTTTCTGAGGAGATGATACTTGGCTGCTCTAGTTGCTGGAACAAATCTGCCTCTATGCAAGTTGCAGCATTGGACCTAGCTCTGCCCTCTGGAGCCACAGAGTTTAATCTTAACATATGACAGCCCTTGAAATATTTGAAAACATTGAAAACAACTTCATAACTCCATTAAGTCTTCTTGTTTTCAGTCTAAACAGCACACGTTTCCTATATAACATGTTTCACATTCTCTGCCATCTTGGTTGCGAAAAAAAAAAAAAGAAAATTTCAGCCACACTTCAAGGTGTTTCTCCACAAAATTCTCAAATACGGAAGTTTGGAATGGGAATATATTTTACCTAATACAAGCCTTCTCTTTACAAATACTCTAATCAAGTACTTCAAGGTGTTTCTCCACAAAATTCTCGAATACGGAAATTTGGAATGGGAATATATTTTACCTAATACAAGCCTTCTCTTTACAAATACTCTAATCAAGTGGTTCTCTCACTCCTCCTTAAACATCTCTAGTCATAGGGATCTGTTACTTTCTGAGGAGATGATACTTGGCTGCTCTAGTTGCTGGAACAAATCTGCCTCTATGCAAGTTGCAGCATTGGACCTAGCTCTGCCCTCTGGAGCCACAGAGTTTAATCTTAACATATGACAGCCCTTGAAATATTTGAAAACATTGAAAACAACTTCATAACTCCATTAAGTCTTCTTGTTTTCAGTCTAAACAGCACACGTTTCCTATATAACATGTTTCACATTCTCTGCCATCTTGGTTGCCCTTCTCTGGGAACATTCTGGCAACTATATTGGTGTGTCCCTCTTAAAATATGGAACTCAGAAATTCAACACTCAGCAATAGCCTTCTGTGTCTTTCTATATGTTTTCTCATTTTAGGCATGGGAATTATTACTTGTATTCATATATAATGAGGAAACACTGAAATGCTTCATTTGAGATTAATCACAGGTCTCTTAGGATGCTCAAGAAACATATTTTGAGTGTTGATTTCCAAATTACTTCTCACAGTACAATCATCAATTTTACTTCAGTTAGCTAGAAACAGTACAGAGGAAGAAATCTATTTCTTGGCTGTGAGAGGCAGCCAATCCATTTAAAAAAAAAAAAAAGAAAAATACAGATGAGATAGACAGACAAATAGAAAAAATGTACCCTTGGTGCAGTTCTCTCTTAACTCTGTTCTTGCAGTGTTTCTTTGTTTAGACACATTATTGTTTTTATAATATTTCTTATTTCCCTTCTTCATTTCTTGCTTCCCTTCTTATATTTCCAATTTAATGGTCACAGCACTTGAGCAGATTCTTTTCTTTCTCTCATCCCCAACATGCATTCTCTTACCTAATCCTTTCAAATTTACCCATGAAATTTCACTCAAGTTTGTCTCCTCCTGCTTCTGTACATTGTGGTTACCTTGGTTTAAAGCTTTCATGATGTCCTTCTTGGACTTTTACCACAGGCTCTTAACTGACCTACTTCTTATTTCACTCCTCTCTAACACATCTTCTAAATTGCACATCTGATTTGACTCCTTCTTTCCCTATTAAAATCCTTCCATGGCTCTCTATTGCCTACATTAAATGCAAATTTCTTGCATGGCACCCAAGGTTTTCTTGATATTGCTTCTATGAACACCTCTAGCTTCATTTTCCTTAATTCCTATAACACTTTACTTTCCAGCATTCTAAACTATTTGTAGTCCCCAGAATTCAATTTGTTCTGCCATTTTTCTCTAACTTTGCATAAATACTAGTGATTTTTTTCCCTCTGTGGTCAAGATTTCCTTGTCCTTTAGTAAACTCTTTTTTTTTTTCCTTTTTGTCTTTTTTCGTGACCGGCAACGGATCGCAACCCTCAGTGTTGCGCTCGTACCGGACTGGGACCGGCTACGGGATCGCAACCCTCGGTGTTGCTCCCGCACCTCGCTCAGCCAGTGAGCGGCCGGTCTGTATGTGGGATCCGAACCCTCGGCGGGAGCTCCGCCGCGCTTCCCAAGCGGCACACTGTAGCAGTGCGCCACCAGGCCGGCCCGTTCTTTAGTAAACTCTTATGCAGTTGTAGGAGGAATTGGGTACTTATTGTCCACTACTCCCATAGCAGCTCTTTGCATTGCTATTGGAGCACCTGTTTATGATACAGTAAATATCTGCTGAATGAATGAACACATTAAATGTCTGTTTACTTGTCTGTCTTCCTTGCTTGACTCTGAGTTCCATAAAAATAGGGATTTTCTGTTTGGGCATATTTGCATCTCCAGCACCTACCAGAGGACCTGGTACATACTAAGAGGCCTGTAAATGTAAGCTGAAGACTGTTGTTGAACAGTGAGAAACTGAAGTTCAGAGGTTTTTCCCAGGGTTTCAAAACAGGATGGGAAGGAAGAGAGCCTGAATTATACTTCTATGATTGTAGGCCTTCCAGTCTGCTCTCAGGTCTAAGGCAGGTTACATTGTGTAATCCTTACTTTCTGTAATCCTGACTTGCCTCTGCACATTTCAGTGTAAAGATATATTACAAGAGAAAAGAGAGATAGCTGCCATTGTGCTCTTCCACTCCAGTCCAGCTTTTTAACATGACTGGAAATTGGCTAAGGTAGTTCACAAGCTGAGATCCTCAGGTAAGAAATTTGTACTTCAGTACAGAGTTTAGAACTTTATTTGCCTCAAGACTTAACTGCTATTCATTTGAACAAACATTTATTAGATACCACCTACATGCTAGGTGCTGGTTTAGGCTTGGAATACAAAGGCAAACAAACATGATTGCTTCATTTAAAGAGATTTCAATATACTACTAAAGGAGAGAGGAAACATGCATAGGCTTTTTCTATACAAATAGGAAGTAAAGGGAGGGTGTACTAAGAAGAGTGAACAGCGGAAGCAAAGGCACAGGGTCCAGGGGTACCTGCTGTGTTTGCTGTTTAATGGGTAAGTCATCCAGTGCATCTAGAAGACTGTAGGATGTATGGTAAAAAATAGTGAAACATTGCCCTGAAAACGCAGGTTGTATCCAATTTGTATAGGAATTTGAATGCCACACTGTGACATAATGTCTTCTTATGATCCAGAGAATTGGTATAAGTTGACATGATTTTCAAGGAAAGAAAGCTGCTGAATGAAAGTAGGATACCCCCAAGGGCTGCAAAAGAGCAAAGAAAAACAAGGCAAAGAAGTAGGTTTGATGTTCTAGAAAAGGGTGGAATATTTTCCTGATGAGAGAACAATACTTCTGGAGAACAGAAAATGGAAAATGGGGCTTGATAGGGGAAGGACAGGCCAGGAAAGGGGACAGGCTGAGTTGGGTGGGCATAAAAGAATGGGAGAAACTAGCTAATCCTAAGGGTTTAAAATTGTCACAGGAAGGTAGAATTCAGGGATGAGAAAGGCAAGAATTAGGTAAGTAGATAGGCAGGCCATGGACAGAACAAAAAAATGCAGAGTTCCTTTTGGAAGTTTGGTAAAGTTATACGGATTCTTCTGAAGATTTCTTCCTTCCAAGTGTTAGAAGAAAGCTGGAGCAATTAGCACTAGGCATCTGCTAGCATAGGAAGCTGGGCTTTTTGCATATTCTCCCTAATATCCCCTAATCCCATAGCCATAATGCATACTCTTCCAAATACTCATTTTCCCTATTCCCCTCAACCGTTCACTTGGTACTGGAAGAGTGCCAGTTGCTTAAACTGGAATACTGTGGTCTGTTTTAGTGAACCTTTCTCCCCTTACTTAATTGACCCAATTAACAGATCTATTTAGTAAGACTAGATTTTAGACAATCTAATGGGTTACTTGCATTTGGTTGCTGGTCCAGTGCTCTCAAGTAGTACATGATCTATTGGATAAGACTAAAAAGAATTGAGAAATGATAGAAATTTGGGGAAATTTAGAAAGATCTTGATCTACCGACTCTTAACACTATTGCTTTCTTTTCCTCTCTCTGCTAACATGAACATCTTCACTAGGGAAGAGAAGGCAGTAATTTCAACAAGAAATCTGAATAGTTTTAATTAAACATTAATAATGATGGCAAACTTTATTATAACTACTATAGAATCAAGGAATTTCTTCTTTAGGTCCTTTGGTTTTTCTATATTGTCAGGCTTGAATCTATTCTACCTCCCTGAACAAATGATCATCCAGCCATTTGGCATTTTTTTCCTATTCTGCTTGGATTCCAGAGGCAGTCCATTCCATCTTGAAATGGCACTGGCTGATAGGATAAAACGGTTTTGGGGTTTTGTTTCAATATTAAGCTGATATTGTACAACCCTCAAGATTTCACTCCTTGGTTCTGGTTTGATCCTTCGAAACTATATCAAGTAAATCTAATCCTTGTACCATGGGCCATCTCTTCAAATATATCTCATTTCTCCCCCAAATTTTATTTTCTCCAGGCTAATGCTCTCTAGCTCCTTCAGTTTTACTCCAAATGGTATGTTTTCAAATCCCTTAAGCCATTCTTATCTCTCCCCTTGTTTAATGCACTTCAGCTTCATTTTAAAAATATGTCTCTGGATGTGGTCTGACCAGTGTAGAGAAGAACTGTAATATTTTAGGACGTTAAAAGTTTTTAATGAGGGGCCGGCCCCATGGCACACTCGGGAGAGTGCGGCACTGGGAGCTCAGCGACGCTCCCGCTGCGGGTTCGGATCCTATATAGGCATGACCGGTGCACTCACTGGCTGAGCGCGGTGTGGGCGACACCAAGCCAAGGGTTACACTCCCCTTACCGGTCAAAAAAAAAAAAAAAGTTTTTAATGAGGTTACATTTAATTAAGCCTTTTGGATGCTCTATCATTCTGCTGACTCATACTGAGCCTACTATCCCAAATCCCAAAGTTTTTTTCTTATGTATTCCTAGACAAAACTGAAAAGGATTGATATGGGGGGAAGTGAGGACTTGAGAAGTTGCACATTCTACATTCTGGACTAGTCTTCAACCAGGTCTTAATTTTTGGCTGAAATTGAGTCATTACTATTTCTATTTTTGACTTTCTCTGTTTTGAAAAAAGATGAAATTCTTTTACTTCACAAATATATACCAGTTTTTAAAAGCTAGATGAGTGGACTCTAATCTGGAGTGCACACTAGAATCACCTGAAGAACATTTTTCTCAAAGATCGTATGCCTGCTCCATCCCACTTCAGACTTACTAAATCAGCATTACGATGGATGGGATCAAAGCATGCCTAATTTGGAAACATTTCCCCAGTGATTCTGATGTATGTCCATGGTTATAAATGACTAGACTCACTCAAAAATAAATTTTCCAGTTCTAACTTTGTACTAGGCACTCTTATCATCATACAGACTGTCCCTAGCTATTTAAAAGCAAAAACATAAATAGAAATAAATATACCACCAAGTAATTAAGTAGTCAGTTTCCATGGTCACTTACCTTTAAATACTTGAGTGGCCCAGCGTCCTTGGAGCTCTGCAATGGGCATAATGGCTCCCAAGGGCTGAATCAAGCCTATGATGGCAAGAGTTGGCCTTTCCAGGTTAGGGGGGAAGACCTTTTTATACAGGGATACCTTGTTTTTTACTACTTTGACAGAATCTTCAAGAAAAGGAAAGGCAAAGGTATAGCCTGTGGCAAAGATAACAACATCAATGTCATCCTCCCTGGAGCCATCCTCGAATATGGCAGCTGTCTCTGTGAATTCCTTCACGTTTCCTTTCACCTTCACCAGGCCAGAAATTATTCGATTTGGGAGGTCATCATTTACCATTGGATGCTGACCTAGAACTCTGTGAGTTGTGATAAAGACCAAGAGAAGGAGAAATAAGAGTGATTTTGAGAGGGTGAAAGAGAAAAATAAGTACCAACTAAGTAAAATTATGCTTTGATGGAGGTAGTTAAACAATATACCAGTGGTTTCCCCCTTGGTCTATCTATGAAATTCATGAAACGTCTAATTTACATCAGCTTGGCGCAGATCAGGGTGTCAGAGCAGATGTTGGACCCTGGATGGCATTGAAAGGGAAGGTGTTGGAGGAGTGAAGAAAGAATTTTATTTGAGGAGTGCATGGATGATTTCTCCACTAACAATAATGTTCTGTGACATGATAAGGCCACAGGCGATGGTTTCTATCCAAATATCAAGTCTGGCAGAACTAAACTATCAACATCATTTCCAGTTTCAAAGGCCCAAGAGCTAGACTTAGAACATCATTCCAAACTGGGTAATAAATTACATGTCTGTGGCAATTTACAGTTTATAAATTGCTTTTACGTGCATTAACTATTTGACTCTCCTACGGACTCCATGAAAGAGGCAGGACAGGTGTAATTATCCAGGTTTTATAGATGAGGAACCTGAGGCCTACAGAAGTTAAGTGACCTGCCCAATGTTACACAGCCTAGAATTTTAAAATTTATATCAAAATAGATTTCTATGAACTTCTTGGGATACTTTGGGCCCGTTAAGTAGTATTTCCTAGGGATGGCATAGGATAAGGGTGAAAAAAAAAAAAATAGCAGGTTTTCAGTGTCTTGGATCTTTCTAAAAAACTGTATTAATTCCTGAATCCTGAATCCTAAGTTAATAAGTTCTGACAATCCTCAGCCAATCATCCTCAGATAGAACTTACCTAGCCTGAGGAATATTATATGTTCAAACGATTATTACTGGTTTGTTGTATTTAGTTATGCTTTGACTCCAACCTTTAGGTAGATTCTGTTCTGCATTTCAACCTTACGATTTCATCTTTCTCTCCAAAGCTACTCCTTTTCACTAACAGTACCACCATAGTTGCCCAAGCCACAAAACTGTGAGCCTCATATCTGGTCACCAACCCTTTTTTCTTTCTCTCCTTAACATCCCCAGAATAGTTTTTTTTTTTAATCTATTCCCTGTCTCACTCGGACCATTACAGTTTTCTTCAAGGCTTCCTGTTTCATCCTCCCTCCACACCATTTTCAGAATGGTCATTCTAAAATGTGTTTATTATTATGTCACTCACTTAAAACCTTTCAATGGCTTTGGACTGTCTTCATTCTAAACTTTTTGTTTAGCAGAGCATACAAAGGTTTTCATGCCCAGTGAACCTGAAGAAGTATTCAGCCACTCTTTCACCTTTGCCATATAGTCCAGCCATACCAGATTATGTGCAGGTCCCAGAGCATAATGTATTTTTTGCTGTTCAAAGACTTTATACTTAAAATTAGAATGCTGCTCCCCTACCCTATTTATTTGGCTATCTCCTTTTATTCCATATAGCCTTAATTTATTTTGCAACCACCCAAGATATGCATGCTAAAATAATTGGGTGAAAGGTTGCTGGGGAATACAGTCTCCAAATATTACCCCACTGATTAATTTCAAAGGGAAAAATATCTTTATAATGGAGAAACCCAGTGCATACCACCTTATCTGAGTGATCAAATTTAGCATAATTTCTATGGGATAAACTGACATGTGGCTCCTAATGTGATCCACCAAGAAGATACAACGTCACCTATGTGATAGATGTCCCAAAATTATTTAACCAGAATATAATAAAGGAAAAACAACTACACAAGTCCAAATTTAGAGACTTTCTACAGAAAAATGCCTTGGATTCTTTAAAAAAAAAAAAGAATAGAGAATTATTTCCAACTTAGAAATATTAAAGAGACACAATAACCAAATGCCATGGTGTGATTGACACCTGACAGGATCCTGGATTTAAAAAAAAAAAAAAAAAAGCTATAAAGAATATTATTTGAACAACTGGGGAAATTTTAATATGTCAGTGTATTAGATAATGTATTTTATCTAATTAAGTTAAGTTTCCCAAGTGTGATAACTGTTTTATGGTTATGTAGGAGAATATCCCGTTCCTTAGGCAAATATGCTGAAGTATTTAGGGTAAAGTGCCTTAATGACTTCAACTCACTCTCAAATGGTTCAGGAAAACAATGAACTTATGTATGTATGTATGTTATATACGAAGGTACTTCAAAAAGTTCATGGACAGATTTGTATTATCTTTCAATTCTATTTTTCCATGAACTGTCTGAAATACCCTCATATGTGTGGATCTATCTTCATAGAGGGGGAGAGAGAGAGAGCAAATACAGCAACTGTTAATAGGTGAACCAGGTAAAAGGAAAATAGGTGCTCATTGTATTATTTTGCAACTTTTCTGTAGAACTGAACATTTTCAAAAATAAAAAATTGGAGAGAAGAAAATATTTAAAGTCAATCTCTAGAAATGCTTTCACAATCTACCACCCTGGCTATGTGACCATCCTTTATACTCTCATAGCATTCAATGTATTTCTTCATCACATTCTGTCGTCTTTCTTTTCATTAGAGTATTTAAGGTAAGACCCATTTCTCAACTCTGCCATTTATTAATGTTGATCTTGGTCCACTTACTTAGTTTCTCTGAGTCTCAAGTTTTATATCTGTAATATGAGGATAAACAGTACTAACCTATAGGGCTGTTCAGAGGATCATATGAGATAATGCATATAACTTATTTAGCATTGTGGTTGTCTTATAGAAAGCCTCCAAAAGGTAAGATGCTATTATTCGTATTAGTATTGCTATTATGTCTTTCCTCTCTATCTCACGCCCACTATGATGCCTGGCTTATAACAGGGCTCAGTGTTTGTTGGATGAATGAACAAATGATGCACTGCCCTCTGCTACCATTTTGTTGTTGTTGTTATTGGGCATCATGTAAAAAGAACTGATACTTGGGGAAACGGGAAAATTTTTAATGCCAAGGAGAATCAGAGACTGCAAACCTGTAGATCTTGGACTTCTGTGGAGGACAAGGTTTTCATAACGTATGGGCAGAGGTACCTCTACTTTAGCCTGTGTGAATCATCCTTATCCTTGTACTTTGGCCATTACCACCCCGCTCCCATCCTGGGAACATACCTGTGTTTAGGCTTCAGGCCAAACATTTCATGGTCAAACCTTTGGTTCATCTTTCTTTCCAAAAATGTGTTTAATAATGATTGATTACAAATCTTCGTCACAAAATACTTAAGTCGAGAATTGAACAACACATCAAAAGGATATCCATAGTCCCCCACACGATTCAGAATCCAAGTCCCTCTCCTGGTGCTAAGGAAAACCTGGAGCATGGGAGAAATTGTTTACTTTTGTCACTCTGGTTCATAAACCTTCAAAAATAACCCCATTTTCTTCAAGATTAAGTTCAAACTCATTAGTCAGGCTTTTTAGTACCTGCATGATTTTTTTTCATTTCCTGCAGTTTTCCTTCCCAAACACTAAGTTTACAATGAAATTGGTGTATTCACTTTCCAAGAACATGTCTTGCACTGATCCACCACTGTATTTGTTTAATGCCATTATGCCTTCCTGAAAAGCCCTCTTCTTAATTCTCCAAAGCCTATTCATTTTTAAGATCCAGATCAAGTCTTCCTCCTCCATGAAGACACCACTGACTATTCAGGCTGACAATTTTCTCTCCATTCTCTGAACTTCTCTAGCACTTATCACCTGTAAAACTTGTTAAAAAGTATGAAATGGTAAAGCTGAAAGCAACTGGAGATCATTTAATCCAAAACCCTCAGGCTTTTGGCCATTGATATTGTTTGTATCACTACAAAATACTCTATTATTTATCATTTATATCAATATTAAACTTTCTACACTCTTAATGTCCCTTCCAATATGTCTTCTCAAGGGTGGGAGGTATAACCTGCACATCTTTTAGTCTCCCTAGCACAGCATCATCACTTCCATTTGTTGAGATTCATGACCTGTAAGTTACTGTGCTAGGTCCTTTATCTATACTTTTATTTAATCAACACAAAAACCTCTTGAGGAAGGTATTATTATCCCCGTTTTATGGATGAGAGGCATGGAGAGGATGAATAACTTGCCTGAGATCATACAGGTAATAAGTGGCAGAGCTGAATTTCCAACCCATGTCCGACTGACTCCAAAGCCTGTGCTTGAGAAATGTTCCACTGATTATTTGATGGGAGAAAAATTAAGATTGCTAGTACAACAATAGGAAGCTGGTCAGTCTTTCTGTGTCCTTTGCTGGCTAAAGTACATGTCCAGATCTGATAAAAATTTGATATTCAATTACTTGACAAAAGTATCACTTTTTTTTACTACAAAACTATCTGGGATGGTTTCCAGAGCTGCAAGATATAAAAGCACATTGCTTCATGGTCTTTTACCTAAGCTCTCATGTAAAAAGATTACCTGTCTACAGAAGGATAAATCTTTACTTCACACATATATTCTCACTGATGGTGACTTTAAGCACTACAATAATTAAGTACTTTTACATATCACAATTGAAAGAGTATGCACAGTCTAAGGAATCATATGGTTTTGTGTGCAGGCTATATAACTTTTGACAAGTAATGTAAAAGCTCAGAACCTTAATTAAAAGGTTTTTATTTATAAAATAGTGACAATAATACACACATCACAAGGCTGTTGTGAGAATTAAATAGTTTTTATTTATAAAATAGTGACAATAATACACACATCACAAGGCTGTTGTGAGAATTAAATAGTGTTTTTGTAAAAGGTGTGGTGTATAGTAAACACTTAAGAAATGTTTAATGGCTGTCATATTTCTTATTTCAGTTTTCCATCTATACCTCAAAAAAATAAATAAATAAATAAATAAATAAATAAATAGTGTTTTTGTAAAAGGTGTGGTGTATAATAAACACTTAAGAAATGTTTAATGGCTGTCATATTTCTTATTTCAGTTTTCCATCTATACCTTGTTTTAAGCAAACATATTTAAAATCTGGATTTATAAGAAAAAAATTAAGGAAGATTGTGTAACCAATATAATCTCGTATGAAATTAATCTTGTAAGAAAGGGATGTTTTCTTTTCACAAAAGCATTATACCACAAGAATTATACCAAAATTTCCTTAATACACTGAAATTTATAAGTCCATTTAAAAATGCTGATTTACAAAAAACTTCTTATAAATACAATGTAATGTATAAAGCAAAAAGTTTAAGGGTCATTTAACAAAGTTGTAGCATCACACTTCCATTTAAAAAGACAGTAATAATTTGAAGCATATTGTGGAGAAGCACAGCTTAATTAAAGTTACTGAAGAACAACCAGGCTTCTACCTATTGCCAATAAAGTTATGATTCAATGAAGACAGGAATAATAAAATATAATAATATGTCTTTTTTCAGAATTTATAGTGAAGATACTTCCCTGCCAGGTGAAAATCTATGATACAAAAACCAAAACAAACAAAATGAAAAGCCAAAGAGATAAATTGCTTTAGAGCAAATGCCACTCCGTGCTACCTAACTGTACGCAAAGGCTGGGGCAAGATGCTTGCATGTGCCACAGTGTGGATGCTTTTTATACTGATATCCATGTTGTCCTTGGAGAGATCAGATTGCTTCTTTTTTCCATTTGGGGAGTGAGAAGGAAAATTCACCCACCATCCTATGAATGAAAATTTTCAATAACCACAGCGTGCTTTCTGTTACATAGGAACATGGCACTTCTGCTGGGCAACAGAAAATGCACGCTCTGAATACTGCATTGGAACAACCTCTCCCAGCAATTACAGTTGACCCTTGAACAACCTAGAGGGGGAGGGGAGGGGAAAGTAGGGGCACCTACTTCCCATGCAGTTGAAAATCTAGGTATAACTTTCCCCACATCACTACTTAAGTAGTTAAGTAACTTAAGCAGCTAAGTGCTTAAGTTCTTAAGTAGTTGGCCCTATGAAACCCACGCATACACAAAGGTGGCCCTCTGTTAATGCGGGTTCCCTTAAGGTTCAAAACTATATTGTTCAAGGGTCAACTGTTCTAGGTCTTCATCAAAGCCAGAGGCACACTCTGAGAAAATGGCTGATTGGGATTATGAGCACAGTCTGTGGTTGCATACACAAAGGTGGCCCTCTGTTTATGCGGGTTCCCTTAAGGTTCAAAACTATATTGTTCAAGGGTCAACTGTTCTAGGTCTTGATCAAAGCCAGAGGCACACTCTGAGAAAATGGCTGATTGGGATTATGAGCACAGTCTGTGGTCAGGAACTCATTCCTTAGCCTCATGCTAAGGAGCCCTAACTAGTAACTGTGGCTTCTCCATTAGCATCAATCATAATGTTGTCAAACTGAGGCAATGAAACGTTTGCCAAGGGCACTGATGGGCTATGTGCAAACATCCATACTTTCTGCTGGGTCCACCTGCAGCTCCTGGATAAGGATGAAGCTAGAGTGAAGCAAAGAAAATAATTTACTGATTCAAACCTGCTTGGCTGTGTGGCTAATCTCTACAGCCAGGTCCCCTCCAGAATTCCCAATGCCAATTATAATGACTCTCTTTCCAGTGAATCCCTCTGGGTTCTTATAGTCTCGACTGTGCAAGTACTGTCCTTTGAACTTCTCGATCCCTGAAAGAGAAGGGAAAATAATTATTGGGTGATGGTTTATATAATGGATATAATTTGTCAAATCACTTGGTGTCTTTGCAGAGTTTAAAGTTTAAGTGTATATTCTACATATGGTCTTCCTTTACTTAGATAGTCTCTTGCCTTTCTGAATATTTCTGCCAATTTTCTTTTCCCATAGCCTCAGAGCAGAACCTTGTGATTTCCTTATCATAAGTAGTTTGCTTAACTTAGGATCTATTTGTATTTTGGATTTGTAGACTCACAAATCCAAACTGCCTCAGAAAACCTCCATTCTCGTTTGTCTTTTCATCCCCTTAAATGCCTACTCTCATTTCAATTAGAGTATATGTGTTTTTAAATAGTCTAGAGTATATACATGGTATCATTTATTTTTCAAAGTGAAAATTCAGGCCAAAGACTGAAATTAAATTCTTCCAGCTTTCATTTCTTCCTTAGAAACCCAATATTTCAATTTCCTTGATTGCTGGAAAATTCCTCATTCAACCTAATGCTGATCAAGAACTCCACATTATTTCTTTTGATCCTTAGAAAAACTGAAGTGATTATAAAATTAAATAGACCTCTAATCTTCCTCTAATCTCCAAAGTTACCATTATCTCTACCCCTAAAATGGCAATGTTACAAGTTACCCCAAAATGTTTCAGGAGGAACATGAAGAATTGGGTAAGCCTTATTTCATCCCAAAGTAGAAATCGCTCAGACTCTCATTTCCCAGAGGTTAGGTTACAAACATGGCTCAAGGGTCTTCTTTCCCAGTAGGTTACTCACCAGGGAAACTATCCAGGGGTAGGTAAGCATTGGTGTGATGGCCGGTGCAAACCATGACTCCATTGAAGACACCCACCTCCTTCTTCCCTTCACACTCAGTGACTACCTCCCATTGGCCTGAAGTAGAGAAATCAGGCCGCTTCTTCACACTGCACACAGTGGTCTGAAAAGGAAAGTAATAGCCATGGGGGACTGTATCCACAGTCTATACAGTGAGCATCTTCCCTGACATGACTCTCCTTGCAGAATGTTTCACAAAGGGCTCATATCACAGGCCCCATCACACAATAGAGTCCATGCAGTGATATTTGATTTTCATACTCTACAAATAAGAACTGTTTTGTTTGGGGCTATGGTCAAAATGAGAAAACTCATATGAGACAACTGAATAAAATAAAAATAAAACAGAGCTGGAAGGCTAATGTTGTACCTTCTCTGCTTCTAGAAAAGTGCAAATTACTAGGTCTCTTGGTCCATGCCCTAACATATTGCAATATCTGAGAAGCTTGGGCTTCTCCTGTGCTTCTATGACACTCCATGCACTAAATGCCTATTCCTCGCCTGACCTGTACACATCTCAAGCCCTCTGGTGTCTTCTACCCAAAGTCCTGTTCTCACTGGCTAGCCCTAAACATGTGACTGAGCTATAGGGCTCCCTTTTCTGGTACAGTAGAAAAACATCTCAGTGGCTTTCATTTTATTTAAATGAATCTCTCCTTGGATCCTATAAATGCCCATTTGCAAGTAACTATAAAGAATGAGGCTGTGAGATGAGATAGTCAATGGTATAATTTTTAGCTTTTTAAAAAAATAAATAAATAATAAATATGGTTTACTTTACCCAGTCTAAGGAAACACCAAGAATATATTTCTATATTCTTCTAGGCCTATGACCATAACATCTTGATGGACTAATACAGACACCACCCCTGTACACCTTAGCCATCCCACACTGTTTATAGTTCCTCTCTATCATGTTCTTACTTTGACACTGGCTTCTTCTAGGCCTATGACCATAACATCTTGATGGACTAATACAGACACCACCCCTGTATACCTTAGCCATCCCACACTGTTTATAGTTCCTCTCTATCATGTTCTTACTTTGACACTGGCTGGTACCTTTGCCAGGATCACCCTTTTATTCCTTCCTCATTTGGCAGACTCCTACTCAGCCTTCAAGACTCAGCTTGAACATTATCTCTTCTAAGAAAACCTCCCTGGAAACTGATGCCTCTTGTCCTGATGGGTTAAACATCCTCCTCTGAGCTGCAATGTATCAATGTATAGATCTCTATAGCACTTATCACCCTGTAATTCATTTTATTTATTAATTATATTTATAATAAAAATTTTCTTCATTATTCTGTAATGTTAGACTGTGAAGTTATTGATTTTTTTTTTGTCTTTGCATCTTCACTGCTTAGTACAGTAAGAAAATTGTTAAGTGTTGTTTAAACAAGTGAAGAGAAGCACCACTGGGCTATAAATGACTTACTTTGAAAATTGTTACCAAATGTTATCATTTTATTGTTGTGGTTAAGCAGAAAAAGGCATAATTTAGCAGAATGATCAGAAGGTGGAAAATTAGGGCTTTTTGCCAGCTGTCAGAAACATCTATTACTTTATAGCTACTGTTAGAAACTATAGAAAAATCATAGAAGACTTTAGAGTAAGAAGGAAGTATTGAAGTAATCTAATACAATCATCTAATTTTACAAACAAGGAAATTAAGAGAAATTGAAGTTGGGGAACTTACTTGTCTAAGGTCACAAGTTAATTAGTGGTAGAGAAAGGACCAGAATTCAGGTTTTTGTTCCCCAATTCAATGTTCTTCCCTGTACACCAGTTAGCTCCTTTACTTCCTCAGTAATTTCCCAATGACTACTTCACAGAGTTATTGTGATCACATAAAACAACATATTGGAAATTAAGAAAGTATGAAAAGACTAAGCAGTAGTGGACAAGTTGTGCAACCAGAAGGTTTTAAAGTTCCTGTACCTATCAGTCCATTCTATAACTGGGAAAACATTTTACCTCATCTGTTTTATTGCAATCAATAGTGTAAATAAAGGCAAAGAAAACACTCTGGCGGTGGATTCCTGTGTCTGCAGACAAAATATATGAAAGAGAGACTTCGCCATAAGTATTTTTTAGGTAAGAGAGGACAAAGAATGGAGTCTTTGCCTGGATAGGATAGATATAAATACATATCCAGCCAATCCTTAGATGTAAGCACCAGCAAATGAAGCCATATTATTCATTTACTTGACAAACAACTTCAAACACAAAGATGCCCACAAAATTCCCTACCTTGAATTGAATATACTTCAGAAGATCAAATTCTTTGGCATACATCCTGAAATACTCCATGACCTGGGAGTTGTGCATGAAGTTAGGATAATGATCTGGGATGGGGTAGTCACTGAAGCACATCATCTCCTTAGAAGTATTGATGATCACTGATTTGTAAATACTGGCCCTTCCTTCTTCAGGATTTTCCTGCAGCAAATAAGAAGCATTCATAGCAACTTGAGAATTAACTTCATAAGTTATAAATAGCCAATAAGCATTTGAAGACATTTTCTGAAATACATGCCCATTAAAACAAATTACACACACACACACACACACACACACACACACACACACACACACCTCCACATCTCCCAATGTTTGCGACCCTGTGTAGTCACTTCCCCTTGAATCTGAGTTATTTTTATGACTTGCTTTTGATCAACAGCATAAAGTTGAAATGACACTGAGTGACTTCCAAGACTAAGGCCTTGCAGCTTCTGCCCGTGTCTCACAAAGCTCACTCTGGTAGAAGCCAGCAGCCATGTAAGAAGCCCAACTACCCCG